GACCTTTGCCCACAGCCTGGTTCGGGGGGTGCACGTCTCCTCCCAGAGGGCCTTTGTTACACACCAGAGGCTGCAGGGAAGCAAGGAAATCCCTTATCTAGCCCTGTAGTTCCTTCCCCAGACATTGTTTTGTGCCCCCAATTTAGCACTGCCCAACCGTGCAGTGCCGGCTGGCGGGCCCTCCCCAGATGCTAGCGGGCATCGGTGGCCAGGCATGGGGGGAGCTCGGGGCAGACTCTCGCCTTGGGGAGCCTGCAAAGTGTGCCCTCCTGCCTGCCATGCAAGGCCGGCAGCCCTCCCAGCGCAGCGGGAAGGCGAGGGTTGGCTTAGCACGGGGGAGGCTGCGGCAGCGGGGGCACCTCAGGCAAGGCAAGGCTGGGGGCTGCAGCGGGTGGAGAGTCCCCTGGGCTGCAGGGCAGCACTGCCTTCTGCCAGCCTTTCTGCGGCCCGTAACTGTGGGGTTTGACCAATTGCTTCCCCATTTTGTGCTTGGTTTGGGTTTTGGGGGGTTTTGTTGGTTTTGGTGTGTTTGGTTTTTTTTAACCAGGGAAACAGCCTGGAAGGGGAAGCCACCAGCTGTGCCGGGGGGTCCAAGGCTGTTTCAGGAACTCACCCTATCCCCATCTACTGGGTCTGTGCCAGGTCCTTACAGTCCTGTAACAGCAGAAAACCTTCAGCATCAGGCAGCAGTCAATATTATTATTAACAGTCAAAATTATCTAGCACATCTCCTTTCTGTGGTCAAAATTTTTTTGGAAATAAACTTCAGATTTTAAAAAAATATTTCCTAGCTGTTGCACTGGTAGGGGAAATAGTACAGGCACAAATGCTATTAAAGTTTTGTGGTCCTACTCCATTTCAAATTTATGCCTTAAATCAGCATTGAACTAACTGCTTAGGAACACAGCCAATGCCATTCCCTGTTATTTTTAGCTAGCAATGAAAATTTTCAGCATTTTCTGGGACTCCAGTTGGGATGACCCCTGTTTTTACAGACAAGATCCAGGCAGAAACAATTTGGGGTGACAGAAAGCTTTCAGTATAGCAAAGTATCCAGATTTACTCCAGAGACAGTAGCTCACTCTATCAGTTTTCATACATTACATTTTCTTTGCATTAAATAAAACCTTTTAAGAAAACTGCCCTCCCCCTTTCACTTGCAGTTTCACACATTGATCTGAAACTACATGGCTCAAGGAAAAGTCTATTGATATATCAGACCACTAAAAACGATGGAATTCAAGAGTATTAGAAGCTGAGGCAGGCCTTCTCCCTTCCTAACTGTGCACCGTCCCCAGGTAATGCCAGCGTTACAAGCAATTATCAGCGAACTCTCGAATAAAACTCTTTGAGCATATTAATCTACTCCCAAGGCACAAATGTTTATGCTTAAAGAGAGAGCAAAGATCCAGAATCACTTTAATCCTGCTTCCAATGACAGAGCAGCAGCATCTCCCCCCGCGCTGGTGGGAGCGCCGAGCCCCCCGTGCCGTCTCCCGAGCCGGCGGCTCCATGCCCAGTGCAGCAGCTGGGCACCAGCCCTGCTCCCAGCCCTGGGAAAGTACACGCACGTCGTGCACGCAGAGCCGGCTGGCGTCGCAGCTGCACTTTGGGTTACCTTCTGGTTGCACAGAACATGAGATGTGTTTTACCTGCTGGATGCAGCCCCGCGAGTGCAGCCACGTCTCGTTTATTCAGCCCTTCTGCTCCTCTCCCTCCCCATGCTGGTTTCCGATTGCCCTCCAGGTCAGGAGCTCCTCGGTGTGCTTCAGTACTGCTTTTATTTTATTGACCTTTCCTCGGGGTTTCCTCGCCAATCTTTGGCAGTGTATGTACACGACAACCCCCTCCCTGTGAAACAGAGACCGCATAGCTCCAAGGACAGGCTCATGGGCAAGAATGCCCTATGTTAACATTTCATACCCTGCGCTTGAGCAAAGCACATGACAGGTCCCGGGTCAGCTTCAGTGCATGCCCAGAGCTCGTACCGCTGCCCAGAGACCCCACGTGGAAGAATATTAATGTTGATGGCATCGGCTGCTGAAACCACAGCTCCTTTTCTGAGCCTTTTCACATTATGGGAAGAGATCGGCCTCCTACAGCTCGTGTTTGCCCAGGACTTCCCCCAGGCTCCCTCTCCACTGTCATTTATTGATGAGACAAACCAGGAGGAAGCCAGAGAACAAAGATTTGCTATCGACCTCGCTGCAGGACAGAGGACAAATTTCACCTTGCAGAGAGGCAGGTTAGAATTGAAACCCACCATCCACAACATGCTCGGAAACAGGACGCCCATGGACAGCCCTGTGGCAACCGCTGTCCCCATCCCTCCGTGCCGCTAACACAGGGCAGCTCTGCTGGAGGGCAGCAGGCAGCCGCGTGCGGTAAGAAGCAAGGGGACAGCGTGCACAACCACACCAAGGGTAAGGTCCTACCTGTGTTCACCCCCAGCCACAGCAACTGGGCGATGGTTCAGCAACAAGGTCACCGAGGCCTTTTTTTGCCATCCTCAATCCAAAGCTGTGCTGTGCTTTGCCCAGGAGAAAGGTGTCCATGCTGCCCCTCCCCCCCTGCCGCTGAGAGATGGCTTGATGCAGAGCAGAGACGTCCCTGGTGGCCTCCTTATACCCATTGCATTCCCTCCGCCACGACGGCAGGGTCACCGTATCAGACTTGGCCGTCACACGAGGAGCACAGGGAATGAAACACTCAGGACTCCACGCAAACTGGAGCGGGTCCCCAGCCAGAGGTGTGCTGCCAGGATGCTGCTGTCAGAGTTACAGCCCAGACCTTCACGCTGGAGCACAAACACCCTGGCCCACAGCAAGGACTACTGACTGACTCACCGACATCTGCCAAAAAAAGCACCAGGGTTGGGTTTTTTTTTTTTTTTGCTTTTTAAGACTCACCTGTCTTTAACTGTAGCAGCCAAACAACAAACATGAAATATGCATGTACCTGTTGTTTTCTTTTTAAAAATCAAAATACTAAAAGCACAGGAGGTAACAAGAGCTCATTCTGGGCTGCATTTGATGAACAGAGGGGAGGGAAATGACTGGCGCCTGCCCCACCGCCAGCTCTGGACTGTCACCGCTCTGACCTCTGCTTTCAAAGGCTGAAGGGCCACGAGCAAAGGCAAAGCTTCTCACAGCACCCAGCCCCAACTCCCTGCCCCAAACACCACCTTTATTTTGCTCAAGACAACTCTCCCACTTATAGCAAAATGGGACTGAGCTGGGCAGATGGAGAGCACGCTGGTGTGCACCTCTCCCAAGCAGCCCATGGGGACCCTGGGGACCGGCACGGCTGCGGGAGGGCTCTGCACCGCGGGGTGCACAGAGCGGGAGCAGGCCATGGGCCCGGGCCACTGCAGGGGCCACGGGCTACCACCCAGCAACTACACAGGTGACCCAGGGAGCTGGATTTGGCCAGAGCCCACAGCCCTTCCCCCTTCCCCACCTCCTCTCTCTGATCACAGCAGCGCTGGTGTGGCGGCAGAGCCCCCCCATCCGTAACACCCCGAGGCTTTCCGGCCCGACACAGATGAACACCACTGAAGGCAGAGCAGATCCTTCCTTCTCCAAAACAAAGACATGGGAAGTCAATAAAGTCACGGGCCGGGCCCAGCTCTCTTCAGGGCACTCCCCTCGTTTGATTTCTTGAACAGGCTGTAAGCACGATACAGATTTTTATGCAGTCTCAATGTTGACAGATAAAGCAATAAAAAAAAAAAAATAATTTGGGGCCAGCTCCTGCAAAGAATCCAGACCCAGAGCTCTGTGCAGAGACTTTGACAGCTCTGACCCGCAGCGCATTGGGTGTGCCCTGGCTGGGCACCATGCACGGCCAGAGCAGCCCACTTGGCTCGGCTCGCCCCCCAGACCGATCTCCATCAGCAGGTCCCCAGTTTCTCTCAAATTGCTCCTGGTTCACCTACAGTGGGCAAGAAGGGAGTAAACACCAACATTTTGGCTTTCTTGTGCTATAAACACAACTGATGGAGCTCAACACAAAGCTGAATTCTGCTAGCAAGTATCACCCCAGTCTACGTGGCACAATTAAATAGAATTTTATTTTTAATAAATATACAATCTGCATCATACTGGACAATATGCTGTGAAAAAATAAAACGTACAGAAGCAACCAACAGGACAGCTTGACTGTAGCTAAATTCACTTGGTGACCTGGAAAACTACCTTGGTTAACACTCACAACACAGAAAGAGCCACTGCAGTCTGAGAGAGAATTGAAATTGTGTATTTTGGGTCGTCTTAACTGCAAAAGTCCCGACAGCAGGTTTCTTTTGCATAACACAGGTTTGAAAAGACACGAGCTGGCTTTCCTGGTACAAATGCTATTGGAAATGTTTACTTTGCTATGTCACCACTGTATCTACTTGACGCACACAAACTGCTATCGAGAGTGGCAGGTCTCACCGCTGACGTGACATCGGATCCATTTGACAAGGGGCTCCACGCACGCGCGCACGCCCCGGCACACAAATGCACGCGTATGTACTAACAGGAGCTTAATTCTGTTAAAACTAGTACAAGGACAAAACTGGAGTCAGAGTTGATTTCACCACAGGTTCTACCATTTAAAAAAATATTCTAGCCTAATTACCACGTTCACCAACGAGAGTACACGGGTACTTATATCTCCAAGAGGATGAGCCATGGATTTGGACTGGAAGGACAGCAGAGGCAACTCCCAACTCTTCCACCCGCTCGGCGCTTCCCGCGGCACCTCCATGCGCAGCCCACGCCGCTGGGCCACACGCTCCGCCACATGGGATGCGAACAGCTGAGCAGTGCCGGGTGCGAGCAGCGAGAGGTCCGGCTGGCTGGGCCGCTGGTGGCCCCAGACGGGGCCAGGACCCAGTGGGACATGGTTTGCAGAGGCCAGCGCAGCTGGTTGGGTGCCGGCAGCCACTTCAATCCAACGGAGCTGCTGTGGGGTGCATGTAGGGTGTGAGGTGGGGTGTTTCAGTCGGTGGTTTATTTTTTTTCCTCGTCTGCCTGCTTGGTCTGGCTGCTGTTAGTCCCCCACCTCATGTCACCTCCAGGGATGCTGGAGAGACGCGGTCACACTCCTCCCGGGACCGCAGGCTGTGCCACTGCTCCACGGCTGTCCGGTGTGCGTTGAGCATCCGGCGCCAGTGGTTGGACTCGGGGGCACCCGTCGAGTACTGCCCAATCACGATCCTCCCAATGAAGTCGTTGCTGCTCTTCACGTTGTGCCCATACACTGGGGAGAGCAGAAACAGAGACCGGTCAAGGCAAAAGCATCGCTCATCCACCCAGACCTCTGCCCCCAGAAAGCCAAACATCCTGCAAATGCCCCCTCACACAGCACACCAGATGCCAGCATTTTTGGCATATAACTCAGCACCTCAAAAGTGTTAGAGAGACCAGATCAGGAGTTTGGAAGGAATAAGATAAGCTGTACTACAGACTGAGATACAATTCAAGTAAACAAGACACAAATCCACTATTATTATGCTATTTAGCAAGAATAGGTCAAGTAGAATCACAGAACGGTTTGGGCTGGAAGGGACCTTAAAGATCATCCAGTTCCAACCGCCCTGCCACAGGCAGGGACACCTTCCACCAGACCAGGTTGCTCAAAGCCCCGTCCAACCTGGCCTTGACGTAGAATTACATTGCGTAAAGAAATGCTGAAAGCTCTGCCCGGACATCATGAAATGATGAAAGCAGCCAAGCAGCCCACACCTGGGTAAATGAACAAGCAACATCTCAAACTGTCCTCCTCCAAATGCTAAAACTGTCCTCCTCCGATGTTCATGCTCCGTTCCAGTGCTAATCGATAGCCTTCCCGACTCAGAGACAGGAATCACACACATACAGGCTGTCAGCAGGATGGTTATGCAGAAACAATTTGCCTTAATTACTGCTGCAGCTACTTGTTAAAGTCCAGGAAAGCAACCAAGGGAGAGACATCAACCCAACACCCCATCCTTTGGATTAGCCCAGTCTCCTGGAACAAAAGATCACAGACAGCAGCAAACTCTAATGATGGGCCTGATCCCCGGAAAGGCTGCACGCTGCTGCCAGACAGGAGGAAAGCACTTTGTGTTCTGCAAATTGAAGCCCTGCCTTGGCTCATTAGAAAGTTGAACAAAAAGTCTGTGCAAGCTGAAGCCAGAATATCCACGGGCACTGGCTGCCATATTAAGGATTAAAAAGTCTCCTCAGGAAAGAGAGGGATTTTTAAGAACAAATGCCTGCAGGGGCTCCAAATCCACCCAGGCTTGTGCAGCAAGAGCAAGTTCAAAGGAGGAGCACAGCCGGGCATGGAGCCGTCAGCCTGGCGTGAAGCCCAGCCCTGCCGCCGCTGCCCTGCCAGCAGCACCAGCTCTCCAGGGCTGCGGAAAACCAGCGCTGGCAGCAAAGCTACGCCTGGGATCCCGGGCGGCAGCACTGCCCGATGCAGCACACAGCCTTTCCAGGCAGGCAGGACACTGAGCACTAAGGACTTGACCTCGCTTTTGGCTGTGCATCTTTGTCAAGGCTGTGTGTTTCCCATTATAATATATCCCATGATTAATTAGTATTGTTTTAACGTGCTACTCGGTATCTCTACCATCTCCATACTCTGCAAAGGCTGGTTCCTACCTACTGCACAGTATGGGATCTTGCTCCAGGTGACTCAGGTGCCACCTGCTAGTGCCATCCCAAAATAAAGCCGTGCCAAGGTTACATCTCGCTTCATACCTTCTGACAGCTCCAGCACACAGTTTTTGGGCAGAGATGCTTCTCCACGTCAAACTACCTGGGGATATTTTTGGTAACAGCAAACCTTCAGATGTGCCAATCATTTCTCCAAATAACTACACTAAAAAAAAATTACACGGCAACTCTGAGCATTGCAAGTCTATCTTCAAACTACAGTTAAAAATGAACTGGGGGTACATCTTCCCCTTAGGAAGACCACATCTCTCCTGCTTGTCACCATCAGTTATGTGGGGTGATGCCATCAGCTCCCTGCGACGTGACGCCGAGGAAGCGCCCCTGTTGAGGCCAGGCTGGTGTTGTTGGGAAAGGCCACCTTTTGAGGATGCGGTGAAGAATTTTAAGCCATCCATCTCCAACTAGTACACAGCCTGCCACAGTTATTAACGAGTTCTCCTACAAGGCCACGGATCACAAATGTAGCTAGCATGGCTATGCTACATGTCCTGCTATGATTTATTATCCTAGAGAAAACAAATATTGTGATGAAATCATATAAAAGTTCCCCCAAACCCAATGCCTCCCTAATTTTTTATATAGAGGATTTTTTTTCATTCTTTTGTTCCATTGTTTTCAAGAGTTGAAGGACAATGCAGCCTAATTCTGGGAGACAATACCAAGTAATTTAATCCAAGAAGTCTTAAAGGCCATCAATTAATCACAGGATAAATTAGCAGTGGGGAAGTACCCCAGGCATACCAATTCTTCAAAAATAATCCATGTCAGGACTGTAAAATGAGGAGGTGTGCGAAGTAAGGGGACCTGGTATTTTACTGTTGATCTGAGTATTTTGAATCCTTATAAAGCATCTTGATAATCTCATTGTTTTGGGTAATTACATGTCGACTCATTTAGGCTATTAATGGGCTAATTATACAAGCATTGTTGCTTCTGTTGTTAACTATTTTAGGTAGCATAGAGGTAGACTTATTGCTGAAGAAGAGGGAAGACTTTCCAAGGCCAAATGCTTATTGACACACAGACGGCAAGACGTGGCACTACATTCGCCCTCAGGTTTACAAACTTGCAGCTGCACCACAGAAGCTTTCTCAAAAGATGAGAGATCACAAGTTTTTGGCCACAAAAAACCAGGAACCCCTGGAGCTGCTCAGAAGCAGAAAATGAGGTAATTCTCGTTTGGGGTTTTCAGACTGACCCAGACTCCGGTTATGGGCAGGCAGACACTGCTTTCCGTTTAAGAAAGCTCTTTTCCTGACAGAAACTACACACCTCATCTCATGAGCTTTTTTTCCCACCATCACAGTAACTCACACAATACCAACATCCATTTCCAGGCCAACACGGAGCAAAAAGCAATTAAGGAAGCAGAGGTCAAACCAATTCCTTCTAGACCTGCTCTTTTACTGAGGGATGCATTTGGAAACAGAAAGACTTCTTTTAAAAAAACTCTTTGTAATAGAAATGCTGAAAGATAAGTAAAATTTGGGTTCACTCATGTCCATTAAAAGGGTTGAATTCTGGAGGACAAACGATGCGATGTAAATAAAACATTTTTATGTTCCATACTTACTGATGCCTTGCTCCTAAATGATCCATATCAAACTGAGGGGGGCCTGGGTGCCACCTGAAACTTTTCGTCAGGGTAGGGAGCAGAGCCATCAGCCAGGCAGCGGCCTGTGCCCCGGCGGGCTCCTGGGCAGGAGGGGTGGCTGCCTGCTCCTGCAGGGCTGAGCAGCACGGCCCGGCAGGCACCAGGCACTGCTCAGCCCAAAACTGCACCCCAGGGCTGGCAGGGACTGCCAGGAGATGCGATGGGACCTGGAGCTCCAACGTTTGGCTCCAAGGGCAACTCTAGCCTGAGCTTTCCCATGCCTCCTACCAACCTCAGTCACTTGGAATGGCTTTTCACTGCTCAACAGCTTCACCTGTCGCTACGTAATCTGGCACTCGCCCCGAGTTTGCCTGGGTGTTACCTGCCCCTTTTCCCAGGCACCAGATCCAGCCAAAACGCCCGTTACCTGCCCCTTTGCCTCTACGCTGAGACTTGCAAATCAAGTACTTGTGAAGAGCACAACTGCAAAGCAATCGTGATTTGTGACTTATGTGTGATAGCAGAATTTAAACTGGCATTTCAAATATTAAATCATCCTTTGACTGAACATATTAAAAGCCTTGAAATGATCAGGAAAAAGCACTAATTAAAAAATTTCCTTAAGATGACTTCAAAGCTACCAGTACCATTTATGCAACAGGGGACAAGCTTTACACAGAACCACCTTGCTCAGCTGGGGTCACACACCTGAGACTTGCAAATCAAGTACTTGTGAAGAGCACAACTGCAAAGCAATCGTGATTTGTGACTTATGTGTGATAGCAGAATTTAAACTGGCATTTCAAATATTAAATCATCCTTTGACTGAACATATTAAAAGCCTTGAAATGATCAGGAAAAAGCACTAATTAAAAAATTTCCTTAAGATGACTTCAAAGCTACCAGTACCATTTATGCAACAGGGGACAAGCTTTACACAGAACCACCTTGCTCAGCTGGGGTCACACACCCTCCGCATCTCCTGTAAGCCCTCTGCCAGACGTGCCCAGCCGTTACTCAGCAGTTACGGCCGCACAGCACCGCCGAGCACGGCCGCACAGCACCTCTGCTGCCGCCTGCAGCTGCCGGAGCACCCTCTGCAGCCTCTCTGGGAGCAACCGGCAGAGAAATCTCAGCGCGGTGGGGTGGGTGGGCTCCAGCAGAAATAACTTAACTCTTCCTCAGTCACCTACATCAGTGACCTGCAATGCAGCTAAAACCATTTAACTCAGAAAGAAAAATAACAAGCA